GGCCTTTTTATTTTAACAGTTACCCCCTTCATCAGGTGTCACGTAAAGAAGCTGGCAAGCTGTGACACATATTCCCAACTTGCATTGCTTGAAGCCTATTGACAAAACCTCTCTTTACCGTAACTTTTCAGAACTTAAGACCTAATCTGCCTGTGCTCTGCAAAGCTTTCTACTGGGAGAATTTATTGGAAACAAGCATGTTTGGTTTTTTTCCCCTCCTTTTGTTCTTTGGGATATGTAATGAAAAATTCTCCAGCGTTGCCAGTTAATTGCTTCATGGCTGTTGTTTGTCAATTTGCCAGCAGGTTTCTGCTTAACTGCTGCCATTTGACATTGCTGAAACACAAATGCAGAATGATTGAGTTGCCAACATATCATTAAGTCTTCTGCGAGGGGGGCTTTCAGCATATTAACGCTTCAGGCTTTTACGTCAGCACTGATTGCTGAAAAAAGAAAAGAAACCTTTGGCAGAATTCAGCATCGTGCCAACATGCATTTGCTGACAGGAAAAAGAAACTAGCCATTGCCGTTGACTGTGACTTCCTTCCGCTCTTTCTTTCTTTGTTTCTCTCGTTCTATACACACGCACACGGAGTTTTGAAATATAATACACATCTCAGCTGAATTCCAGTTAACCTAACAATAAATCAACAGGGCAAATCAATTCCTTAATACACTGTCAGATGCAGAGGCCATTTCATTTTGAAGCTGCCTGTATTATGCCTGGAGAGATTTCATGGAAATGGGGGTGAGGGCTAATGGCAGGAGCGAGGAAGCGTAGGAGAACGGGTCAGGAGCTGACGTCGAGGAGGTTTCGGGGGCCCGGGGCTGAGCTCTGCCCCCTCGCTGCGGTCTCTGCCGTGCTCCTGGAGGAGCAGCGAGGCTGTTCTCGGTCCCCTCTGCCCCTCGCATGCAGCAGAGACCACAGTAGAGTTCGGTGCTATGGGAAGAGCAGCAGGACGATGCAAGGCGCAGCTAGAGCGCAATGAAGGGCCACGTCGACCTGATCCTGGGCGGCTGCATGTCCTGGGAAGGGACACCGGCACGAGCAGCGCCAAGCGGCTGGAGGCAGGCTGGGGAGCTGTGTCCTGCTCCCGGGACGCAGCGCCGCAGGAGGCCTCAAGCCGGGAGCACAGCCAAGAAAGGGTTTGGCTGAGACCGAGAGATAAAGAGGACGACAGTGCGGTTTGATGGTTTGCACCTCGCTATCACTGTAGGGCTGCCCAGGGGCTGCCCTGAGACAGGGAAAAAAGAGGAGCTGAAGGAGGGAACAGAGGTGAAAGTGTAAGCTCTCCACATCCTTCCAGCTGCAGGAGCGTCCTTATGTGCTTTTCACTGCCTTCCATCAAAGCCGTCGCCTGCCTCTGTTTTACTTTAGTCTGATGTCAAGGTATTCCTTTAGATGACACTTCGCAGTCTGTTTTGGATTGAGAAGTTTTGTGAGGAAGACCATCTGGGCTGACTGAAGATGCTAATGTCTCACTAGGTGCCACTGCATGGGGCAAAGAGTTGAGAGGAAATAGGGCAGGACATGGGGCAAAAATTCCCATGAGCAAATGGGAATGGCTTGCTTCCAGTCCAAGCTCTCAGGGGTTTGTCCATGAGTCGGTGATCAGTCCTGGCTGATACCCTTGCCTTTGAATGAGGGGACTCGAGTGAAAAAAACGGCGGGTGATTAGGTCAGAATTACATGGGAGGGAATCTTTCTGATTAAACAACATTTTTATTTTAAAAAATGCTTTCTACGGATTTTTTTAATCAGAAGGCTATGGCTCAGAATTAAAAAGCTTTAGCTGATTGATAGCTGAAACATTTTCTTCTGGAAGCACCTTCCTGCTGCTAGCTGCCGCTTACGTACCTGATGTCCAGATTCTTCTCTGCAGAGGACATTCCCCAGCCAGATGACATGTTCCCCAATGAGCCCCAGTTGGGCGAGCTGCCGTGATATGGCATGTGTAGCTCTGAGCTTGGAGTCCAGCCCACAGAGGAGAATAGGAGCCCAAAGCACCTAAATTAGAGAATCCATGGGATGCCACGTTAGGGTCTCCAAATAAAACAAGGCCAGATTTCAAATCCAAATTTGAGACTAAAATCTTGTGTATTGCAGTTTCTTTTGCTTAAAAGTCTGCATTTTCATCAGATTGAGGGATAAATAAACACCTGAATCATCTTCTAACCAGCTCAGTTAATTAGTAGTAAAGCCCAGCATGTGGAGCACGAGAATTTTACTGATGATGGGTGAGACTGACTAGGATCCAGTTTCTTTTTCTGTAACTCTGAGGCCTGTTCACTTTTAACACAGTAAAATGAGGTTTAAAAAGTAAAAGGGGTTAAAAGAGGAAAAAAAAAGTGATCTGGCCTTGATTTCCTGCAAAGATCTTGGGAATAAGCAGGCCCCATCTTTGGTAACTGATGCAGATCATAGTTGCCAGGCTTGTGCCTGGATCAGCAGTGGTTCATCGCGCATCTGGCAGAAGTCTTACTCAGTGTTTGATAGGTTGTCTTTTCTCAGCGTGAGTTAAAGTAATGAATCTTTTATTTTGGAATTACTACAGGGCTCTGTAGTCTTTCTTTCAGCTTAATATTTTTGCTAGTTTGCAATAGGTAATGCAATCTATGCCTTACCTTGATGGTATTGTATGCTTAATCTTTAAAATGCTGGGGAGAGAGGCAGGCTTTGGTGTCAAGGGAAATAACCATCCTGGCAGAGAGAAAAATATCAGTAGGATGCTGCCACTGAATTGGCAGAGGCCGTTTGATGCATGTTTTGTTAGCTGGCTGTTGATTTTCTCGTCTGTGTTTTTACTTCTTTTTGTTATGTTTGAAGGTGCTTCCAAAATATTGGTCTTTAACTGGGTACCTTCATTCATATACGGAAAAATCATAAAGAATACAGGGAAAAAAGAGGAATGATAAGTTGGTAATGAGAAAGCAGAGAGCTGGGGACACAGTTCAAGGAAATTAAATCCCAGCCTGGACAAGACAGCACTCTATGTAGCTGTGCCTGTTTGACTGGCTCCCTTACGATGTAACGTAGATGGGAAGATCTGTTGCACATGCTTTCCAAGATCTGTACAACTACTAAATCCCTTCCTAATAAAGTGAGTGAATTATCGCCTGTGTGTGAAGATGCACTCAGGAACTTATTTTTTCATGAGTACAGTATCTGTGTGGCCATATGGAGTCCAGAACCAGGCATGAGAGACTGCGCTGGAAAACAGTAAAAACGGCAGGCTGCTGCTTCTGCTCCTCTTACAGAAAGAGGCAGGGGTAAGAGCATAAGAACTGCCATACCAGAGCAGATCAGTGGTCCACATAATGCACCCATTGGTGTTAAAAGTACCCTGCTTGGTGCTCTAAAGGAGATGAAAAAATTCAAGCCAGCAGCTCATTTTCTGGTTGGGGTGGAGAAATGTTAGGCCACTCCACCTCTTGTCCCTACTGAAAGTATTGTTGCTGTTCTTATGCACGCGAATGATGAGGAAAGATGCCATCCAGAAGTGCAGGCACAAGAAACACCCTGGAAATACCAGGCTATTTTATTAAATATACTCTTCACTTTCATTGCCCCTGCAGGACACCCCACTGACAGCCAGTGTACAGTATGCAACTCCTAGGCGTATATAAGCAACAGAAAACCATGTCATATTTATAAAGACATGCCTAAAAAATACTTTCATGAAAGGCTGACTTTATAGTGCCCCATTAAGTATTACTTTCTCTATAGCACATGCTGCTACATATTTGTGCTGATATTTGCTAAAAAACATTAAAAATGTCATAAGGTAACGCAGAGCTGCACCTTGTCTCCCCCAGTCACCCCCAATGCCCCCCAGTGGGTCACACTGTCTATTAAGGAGCTATTATAGGACACTGTGCCATAGTCCCCAAACCAACCGGCAGCTGTGTCCAACACAGATACTCTCTGGTCTGCGGGATGCGGCAGGAAGGGGAGCAAGCGTCCAGGGAGTGGGAGGGCAAGGGCTGAATAAACTGGCACTTCCCCCCAAAAATTATCCACGCAGTCACAGCCTGAGTGAAACAATCCTGCACTAGGCCAAAATAAGCTGTGGGAAGATTTCTGCGCAATCAGGTAGTTTTCATTAAAACAGAATTCTCTTCTCTTCCATGCTGAACAATTCACTTTTTAGGCTTTTTTACCCTTATGCAGTGATTTTTTAAAAATTATTTATTTATTTTAATGAGAGCGAAAGTCTCGGTGCTCTTTTTAGTTCTAAGAGAATGATTTGATGCATTCTATCTATTCTGCTTTTTCCTTGGGGACATTAATTCAGAAGCAACAAAGAATATTATAACTGTTTACAGTAGCCCTCAATGAACAGCATGAGACTTGGGGATTTTGAAAGAAGTAAGAAGTATTTGGTTACAAAATCAAAAGCTAAACTAAAAGCTTCAAACTCAAAAAAGCTCAAACAAACGGAATGAACAATTTTCAACTTGCCGACTTTTAAAATCATGTGAATCTTTAAACTTGTTTTGTTTATTGTGCTATGCTTTAGAAACCAAAGAGAGCCTGAAGGCCAAATGTTTTATGATTTTATTTTAGAATAAAATTAAATGGGCTACTATTATTAAAAATGGGCTAAAATTAAATGGGCTACTAGTTATTATTGTTTTCATTATTTTATTAGCATCTTAACTTTAGACATTCTTTTATCTTTAGATATGTCACATTTTACTTGTCTAATCAGAAATTCCTGCTTCCATAATATATTTTGCAAATTAACAGATACTGGTTGGATGTGTGAGAGATTCTGGGGGTTTCGGGTGAACTTCTAGAAGACTGTAGTCCCTCTTCACAGCAGCATCTCTGTTTTTACTTAAGACCCATTCAATGGCGTTATGTAGGAGTAGGCTGCAGTCACTGGGGTAATTTAGTCACTGATGACCAGTTTGCTCCCAGCTGAAGGGGATTTGAAGAAGGAAAGCGGTGCTGGTTTGAGTTTGCTTACAGTTGTTGCTTGTTTCATTTTTTTCAGAGTGCTTCTCAGCTGCCCTATGGCAAAGCTCTCTACACGTATGAGGGAAAAGAGCCCGGAGACCTCAAGTTCAACAAGGGGGATATCATCATACTGCGGCGCAAGGTGGACGAGAACTGGTACCACGGGGAGCTCAATGGAAACCACGGCTTCTTCCCCGCCAGCTACATCCAGTGTATCAAGCCCCTCCCGCAAGCTCCACCTCAGGGCAAAGCACTTTACGACTTTGAAATAAAGGATAAAGATCAAGACAAGGACTGCCTGACCTTTACCAAGGTGAGGGAGGTGTTTTTTGAGAGAAAGCATGTGGGAGGCCGCTGCCACGTGCCCCAAGGGGGTGTGCGGGGTGCAGGCAGCTGAGCCTGAAGCAGGGCAGCGTTGGCCCTGGGGTACACGTGCCCATCCTCTGCCGGCAGCTCCCTTCCCAGGGCACGGGCAGCGGCCGGACATGCTGCTCGTGGAGCGGTGGCCATGCGCTCCTTGCTGTCTTCTCCTCCCTTCCGCCCCTTCCCTTTCCGGTGTGCCCCCTTGCCGAAGGCAGGGCCCCTCGACCCTTTGCCCCTTCCAGGCCCCTTTTGGATGGCCTGGTGTTTCCCGCGGTGGGTCTGTGCGGGTGCAGTGGCAGCGCAGTGCGGCTCAGGGTCCCGTGTTAGGTTTGTTTATCTCAGCTACTCTATTTCTTGTACGTGAAAATTGAAGTCCTTGAGCTCAGGCTGCTGACCGGGGGACAGGCTGATGGGGGTGGCTTTCCTTGCTGAGTGAGATCCTCCCCTTACGTAAGGTGTTGAAGGACGTTGACTCCTTTTCCCTTGTGAATCCTCCTTGCTGCAGAGGCAGAGCCTGCCCTGTGGCCCCCGAAATGCCTCGGGCGCCTCCGGTTCA